CCCCCCCCCCCCCCATCTCCTGGTTTTTGATGGGATGGGTTGATGCTAAGAGGCAGAAGTGGTGCAGCCTGGGCTCCTGGTTGTTGGGTTCCACTGTCAGCTCGGGCAGGGGAGCGTTTGCTGGAAGAGGGGAGGTCCTGGTGTGGCCCATCTGAGTTGGACTGAAATGAAGGGTTCAGAGCATCTGTGTGCTCAACAACTTCACGAGTCAGGATGTGGCTGGATTAAGCAAGTGCCCTCACTCCTTCAGCACAATCGGCAACAGCAGCTGAGCCGGCTCTGTCACCCGCGGGGGCAACCTGATGCCTCTCACCCGTCCTCGGAGGGTTGCTGGCCAACAGTTCCCTAATCATCTGCCTAAATATAATTCTGGAACAGATATTTTCTGACCAGGGAGACCTAAGATTAGCTCACGTTTGACTGCTGGAGGTCTTGCCTGGTGCACTGTCCCTCTGCGCTGCCTTTCAGCTTTCCCTGTGTCAGCACGAGCCAAAAATACTGTTCAGTGGCAGCGAGGAGAGATGGAAATGGGGCTTATGGACCTGACTTTGAGGTCAGCCAAGCCCAGGAGCTACCTGCTGTTTTGCCCCCAAGCACAGGGAAAGGGGAGCAGGCTCTTGGCCACCGTCTAGCCACGGGGACACTAGTCTCCAGGCAGCACCAGGAGCTGGGCTGGTTTGCAGCTGCCAAAGCAGCAGATGTAGCCACTACCTGACTGCCAAATCCTCATTTCCTGTGGGGGCTGGAGCCATGGACATCTCTCTGCTGGCCCCACGGGCCCCTCAGGGGTCCATAGACAATTCTCCCTCTGTCTGGCAGCCACTTCTCTGCTAATTTACAGCCTTGTTTTCTCTGATAAATCTTAAACTGGTAACATTCAGTTCTTCCCTAGGCTGTCAGGGTGATGCTTGTCCTTGTGTCATCACCTGGAGAGTCTTTCTCAGGCCAGCTCTGCCCCATCCCTGCGCTGGCCATCCATCCCAGATGGGCTGTAGGTGCCTCCAGTAGCTCCGGCAGGATTGGCTCTGCCTGGGCTGGGGGAAACACCAGCCATGTCCTCGTAGCTCTGTGCTGCAGAGGGAAGACACCTCTTCTGCTGGTCTCTGGGCCACTCTGCCCAGTCCCACCCCAGCCTGGTGCTTGATGGCTGGGGTAGTAAGGTGGAGGGGAGCCGTGCTCCCACGGGAGGATGGAACACCCATGGGAAAAGCACTGCCTGGCAGCAACCCTGGGAGATTTGGGGAAGACTTTTAGCATTTCTTGTGCCCAACTGCTTGCACCTGGGTGCTGCAAACCCCTGGGGTTTCACAGACCCAAATGGAAGGGATGCTTGTAACATCCCCTTATCTCCCTATTGTCCCCCTGTACTTGGCACTGGTGAGGCCTCACCTTGAGTACTGTGTCCAGTTTTGGGCCCCCTACCATAAAAAAGACATTGAGGTGCTGGAGCGGGTCCAGAGAAGGGCAACAAAGATGGTGAGGGGTCTGGAGCACAAGTCTTATGAGGAGAGGCTGAGGGAACTGGGGTTATTCAGCCTGGAGAAGAGGAGGCTGAGGGGAGACCTTATTGCTCTCTCCAACTCCCTGAAAGGAGGGTGTAGAGAGGTGGGGGTCGGTCTCTTTTCTCAAGTCACAGGAGACAGGACAAGAGGAAATGGCCTCAAGCTGCGCCAGGGTAGGTTCAGGCTGGATATTAGAAAAAATTTTTTCACTGAAAGGGTTATCAGACATTGGAATGGGCTGCCCAGGGAGATGGTTGAGGCACCGTCCCTGGAGGTGTTCAAAAGACGGGTTGATGTAGTGCTGGGAGGTCTGGTTTAGTGATGATGCTCCTTGTTTGTTGTGTGGGTGTCTATTTTTGTCAGTTAGGTTGACGGTTGGACAAGATGATCTTTAAGGTCCCTTCCAACCTAGAAGATTCTGTGATTACGAGATAAGCATTTAACGGCCCTGCAGCTCAACCAGCTACAAGGCAGAACAGAGGAAGAAGAAACACCCAGGCAGAAAAAAAAAAAACCACCTTCAGTACTTGAAGGCTGTGTTATTTATTCCAACAGCTTATATAGTTTTATCAAACCATCTTCAACACAAAACATGTCTCCTAAAAGAGAGAACGGTGTGAGATCCTACCAGAGATCATCTCAGCTAACAGCTTGCAAAGTTAAGCCTGAATTTCAACAGTCAAACCAGCAAAATGTTTCTCCCCTCCCCTTAACAATATCTTAAAACGGTAAAACCCGAAGAAAAAGATGCCTGTGGCTGGTGCTGCTGGGTCTGTAGGTGGAGCTCGTCCACACAGAGCTGTGCTTTGGTCCTTTCCTGATGCTAAGCGGCAGCAGCACAGGTGAGTGGTGCTGGACATGAAGGCGGTGGGACTGGCCGGGTCCCTTCCCCACTGCCCACCGTGACGAGGGGTCACATGGACAGTCCAGAGGCCAGGTCAGGTCTAAGATGCAGATAAGGGTGAGGCTTAGAAAAACCATCCATCTAAATTTCTAATCTATGGAAACAGAATAAATAATAGTCTAAATTTGCAAAGGAGGAAGGTACCTTAGACAGGAAAGTCTGATGTGTCTATTATTACTGAAATCGTTTTTTCCCCGAGGGGAAAATTGCAGCTAAGGCATCTCGAGAATGGCTCATATCACTACAACCACGGCAGTGTTGCTCTAAATCGTTAGGGATGGGAGCAGAAGTCTTTTGGAGGTGCCAGTCCTTGCAGAGCATCTTGTGGCTCTCTGAACAAAAACGGGTGCAGCAGAGGCATTTGACAGACCGCTTGCTGTTCCAGGTTGCCTTCTGTCCGCAGGTTCAACAGCAAATTCTTGTTTAATGTTCACAGCAAGGCCCTCCTCCTGCCCATCCCACCCCCTGCACGCTGTCATGGGGAGGGGCTGTTTTCTTGCCCCTTTGGTCTTGCTCCAGGGTCATTCTCAGAAGAAGTGGCGTCTCTTTGGCTTTCTGCAGGAGGGAGGATTGGGAAGAAAGCATGGTTACACCTTGCTGAGGACACACAAGCAATGGGTAATTGCTATGGTTATTCAGATTGCCACCTGAAGACCTATCACTACCCTCCTGTGGCCAGATACTTGGCTTAAGAGTATTGGGCTCTCCCTTCACCTTGCTGGAGTACAAACACTTCTCAACACTTCTGGTGGTGCTGGGAGGGAGCCTCGGGGCAGGGATGTGCTCTCCTGGTCTAATCTGTAACAGCAACTTGCAAGTGCTCCAGCAATGTCTGCCAGACAGCCTGGCAGCTACCTGGGTTGCTCTCTGTTAGAAGAGCTCTAATTTGTGCTTGTTATGGATGAGTGGATGGACACGTGCTGGTATGGACATGCTGAAAGCAGTACGGTTGGGGTAATGTGCTTTAAAGTCTTTTTATAGTTACAGATTGTAGGCTGGAGGAGTGAAAGAGCAAGGGCAAAACCCAAATTTACCCCTCCGCAGGGGTGCTGTATGTTTTGTTGCTCATTAGTGCAATCAGAGTGGCTGGTTTGCTTGTGCTCTGAACAGAGGATTCCTGCTTCTTGTCGGTGTGTACTGAGCAGGGGGATGCTGCTGCCAGACCTGGGCTACAGGGGAAGACTTGGAGATGGCTGGTGGTGATTAAAATTATTGCTGTTGTTATTTAAAACACTGTGGAGCTATTTGAGGGCTGAATTTATTTTAAAAAAAAAACAACAAAACCAAGCAAACCACAACCTGCCCCACACTTGATTTTTATAAAGCCTAAGGTATACCTGATGTGTAATGTGCCCAGGGAAGGCTTTTGGTCAGGTTTAAGCACCGGTACGTCCACAAACCAGCCCAGCAAAGGGCTTTGGCTGGAGTGTGCAGGGTTTGTGTGCCAGGAGCCCCAGGACCACCCCGTTCACTGCAAGAGCCCCTCAGCCCAGGGAGTCTCCCACTGTCTGAACTGCCCACCGAGCACAAAGGCACTGCCTGCAGCGAGGAAGGGGACGTTCCTCCTGAGCATCTGTGTGATGCTCCCAGAGACAGCACTGGTCCAGCCTGGGTGCCAGGAATTTATTTTAAAAAAAAAACAACAAAACCAAGCAAACCACAACCTGCCCCACACTTGATTTTTATAAAGCCTAAGGTATACCTGATGTGTAATGTGCCCAGGGAAGGCTTTTGGTCAGGTTTAAGCACCGGTACGTCCACAAACCAGCCCAGCAAAGGGCTTTGGCTGGAGTGTGCAGGGTTTGTGTGCCAGGAGCCCCAGGACCACCCCGTTCACTGCAAGAGCCCCTCAGCCCAGGGAGTCTCCCACTGTCTGAGCTACCCACCAAGCATGAAGGCACTGCCTGCAGCGGGGAAGGGGACGTTCCTCCTGAGCATCTGTGTGATGCTCCCAGAGACAGCACTGGTCCAGCCTGGGTGCCAGGAGCTGGGCTTACTGGTGTCTGCAGCAGCTCACCTGCTCCTTCGACGGCAAGGTCACCTAGGTCCTCGGTCAGCTTGCGCATGCTGATGGTGGTTGCATCTCGCTGGATGTCATGGACAGCGTTCCTCCGACCAGCCCGATCGCAGGAAATAAAGTCGGTGTACGTGCTGGACTCTACCTCCATTGCATCTCTATACGGCTGCAAAACGCTGGGGAGAAAACACAGCCGTGAGGTCAAGGATGCTCAGCAAGCCTGGAGTCATGGCCCCCTCCAGGTTGGGTTACTCCCCGGAGTTAAATTACAGCATGAAAAAATAGTCCCTGTAACTCTGCTCCAGTTCGTCTAACCGCAGCCACTGAAATCTCAGATATCCAACCCCGTCACGTGGGGCAGCGTGTGGGGTGACCCACCGTGTGGGGTGACCCACCGGTGCTGGGTGAGGGCAGGTAGGCAGGAGGGACCCGTCCCAGCTCCCTTACTGGCCCTTGCTCTCCCTTCCCGTTGCAAAGCCGGGCAGAGGAGGCATTTCCCTCTCCCATTGAGTTTCTGGCCTTCTCCTTTAGGAGCTGCAAAGTCGCTTCCAGCAGCTTTTTTTTTTTTCCTACAGAGAAAGCATTACAGAAAAAGCCCTCCTTCCTCCTCAAAATGCCACGGGAGCTTTCAACAGAGCCAAATGTGGCTCTCTGTGTGGGGGGATGGGGTGCTGACCCAACCTGAATTTGTAATGGGAAATGGTCAGGGTCCCAGTGGACACCCGCTGGGGAGCGGGGCAGTGTTCTGTAGGTACTGGGTATTGGAGCTGTACTGGCCTCCACTGGCTGCTGCATGTCACTGAAAAAGTGTTGGGCTGCACTGCTTTGAGATAAGCACTTTAAGATGTGAAAATCAGCCCTTCTTGTGAGCTGTTTGGATCCCTTCACTCCAGGCTTGTGCCGGTGCCAAGCGCAGAGAAAGGCTCGGAGTGGTCACTCATCACCAGCGAGCTCCACGGCCAGACAGCTCTTAGTTCAGCCTGGCGAGTCCTGAGGTCGTTGGGTTTCATTCTAGCTGAAGTCACCAGCGTTGGCACAGCATGGCAGAGTCCAGGGACCTCAGCAGCTTCAGGGAATGTGTTGCGGGCATCGGGGCTGCTGGGCACAGAGCTGGCGAACACACTGGAAACCTGGTGCTCTTGGTTCCTGCTCCTGTTTAACCAGTTTGGCACTCAGTTTGGTTTTCTGCATGGAAGTTTGAGTTTAATAGTTGTCTTATCTCCAGTTTTGCCTACTGAAAAAACGTCTTTAGCCCTGCTGATGTTGTCAAGACTAAAAGGAGGTCCTGATTAGAAACGCTGGTGTATAATGAGAACAAAATCCAGTTTCTTATCATTCGCTTGCTTTTGTGTTCTTGGGTTAATTTCCCACTAAGAAATGTATTTAGCTCCTGTACAAATCCGGCTTAATATTGATCTTCCTGGCAGGGAAATGTGCTGGCAGACCACCAGCCTGGGCAGGAATCGCACTCCTCGCTCTGTGATCCCTGATGTTATGGCAGCAGAAAGAAGATGCTGGCGAAGATGCAATAGCCAGGATAAAAGAGGTCAAACTCTTCCCCTTCCCTGGGACAGCGGGGTGCAGTAACCTCAAACCTGCATAAACCCAGGCCGTTCCGATAACCCCAGGGACTCCTCTCTTGGTGCCAATGCCAGCTCAGGGAACACCGGTGGGACATGGCGCTTGGCCCACCCAGACCTCGCAGGAGAACCTGCTTCTCCAAATCCAGCAAATCCTTGCAAACGCCTGCCTCCTCCCAGGGCTTGGCATCCATCTAAACTCTCTTAAATGACCTCTGGGAGAAGCTCCATCCTTTGCCCCAGAAAGAGAGCCTGGCTGTTGTTTTTCCTCATCTTCCCTCCTTCCTTTCCAGGTTTGCCCTTCCCGGGATGAGGTGCCCACCCTGGGAGGCTGATTTCAGCAAGCAAAGTGCCTCGTCCTTGGGACAGGATGAGCATCCACCATTCCCAGACAAGTCCTCCTCGTAGCTCATGAGAGCCCAGAGGCTGTTGACCTTCTGTAGCTGCTGGAGAGGTGTCACTTGGACATGGGAAGCTTCCCTAATAGCGATCCACACAAGTCTGGGTCCATCTCCACATCAGTGGGGCCAGTTCAGAGCTGATGTGCTCAGGAGTCCTCCTGCCTTTGCACTAGGAGCTGGACCACCTGGTTCATAGGATGGTCTTCACAAACTGGGGAGCAGGAGCCGGCCAGCCCCTGGGATACAGCATTTTCCCGGAGTCCCTTGATGGACCTGCCAACGGTAGATGTTCTCAGCTGCGGCAGCGCTGGGCCAAGTGACTACATGCCGCATCCCATGGGAAAAGGATGGGATCTTGATTGAAAATAAGGGCAGGAACCCAGTGTGTCCTGCTCGGGGCAGGTCTGGGGCCCGGCTCGGTGGCCGGGAGATGGCGCCTGTGATTTATTTATTTTCCGTGGCTGGAGGAGCTCCTGCCTCCAGCCCTCCGTGCACCGAGCTGGAGATTCATGAGCAGAGCTTTCAAATTTGAGCAGTTCCTTCAGGATTTTCAAGGTGGGCGGCTCTCAGAAGCCTTGCAGGCAGCTCCCTCCCCGCTGGCAGAGCCGCTCCAGCCTCTCCCTCCAGGAAGCTGTAGAACCGAGGAGGTGCCAGGAGCGGTCGCCTCGATTTTTGAATAGAAAAACCTGATTTTTTCAAAGAGCGTTTCCAGATTTCCAGGCAGGTGCAAAACATTTCAGCGGGTTTTTAGTCAGTGGAAACATCTTTTAACATCTGCCAGGGACAAGAAAGGAACCACCCTGCCTCTTGCCCACGTAGTTCAACGTGAAACTTGCGTCACCGTGGCCAGTCATTTAGCGGTGAGAGGAGGGGTGCAAAGGGGGGGTCCATCACCCACCGGCTCCCCACCTTTGGTTCTTCATACTCGCATGGGCTGGCGGGAGGGAATGATGTGCCAGCTCTTGCCAGGCGTTGCAGGAATAAGCCCGCAGCACACAAATACCCTGCGCAAGGGTTTCCAGGGAGCTTCAAAGAGATGATTCAACTTGTCCCCAGAGGGTCATTTCCTGCCTCCCTTCCCTCCTTGCTGCTGACGGGAACAGAAACATTCCCCGTGCCCTCGGTGCAGCGTGCCAGCCCATGGGGACCGGGCAGGGGATGCGTGGCACAGTGACAAAGGCCGTTGGCAAGGGGCTGGGACCTGCTGCCCATTGCACATTCCTCAAAAGCTTTTCTTTACTGCTTGGAGGGAGGCTGCATCCCCTCCACCATGGGGACATGGTGCTGCCTGTCCCAGGGCATCTGGCCACAAGTGAGGAAGCCCCTCACAACCTGCCATAGACGCCAGACACATCCCCAGAGCTCTCCCTCTGCTCCTGTGCTCCCCTGAAACAACCTGGCTCTGCCAAACCTACTGTTTGGCCTGGACTTATTTTTCCATAGTGTCTTGTGAGGACTAAAAAAACCTGGAGCTGTGACAGTCCTGGCTTTGCTGGCCTGGACTCATCTTCCAGAGCGGTTTTGCTGTCGGCCCGCAGTTGGGCTCGTTGGCATTTTCCAGGGAAGACACCCAGCAGCTGACGGAGCAGCTGGCTCTGCTCCGGGAGGGTTGGGGGCTGCAGTTAAAGCAGTCCCACGCACTCCGGGGCTGAGTTTTACCCATTTAGAAGGCGGATGCTAAGATGCAGTGCTAAGGGGCATGGTGTAGGGGATGACTTTCTAGAGTAGGGTAGATGGTTGGACTCGATGATCCCAAGGGTCTCTTCCAACCTAGACGATTCTATGATTCTAAATTAAAGGGTTAAATGTTTCTTCTGCCTTTCAATAGAAGAAACCAGGTCATTTCTTTTGGGTCAGCTCAACGGCCCTCTTGGTCCTACTGAGAAGCGAGGAGTTCATTCCCATTTGCCCCCTTTCCTGCTTCTCCCAGGGACTAGGAGCAACCAGTGACTGCAAATACTGTGAGTGTGGCAGACAAATGACCTGGAGACACCACGGGCAGGTTAAACTCAACACAGGGCCCTGCACCTGCAGGGCAAACACAAGCCCTGCCACCCGAGCCAGTGGCCGGGGTCTAACGCCGAGGGATCGGATGGATGGACGGATGGATGTGACGGTCACACCCAGCCCTGGACTCCAGTTTCAAGGAAACCCTTCACACGATATTGCATCTGTCCCTTGCTGAGGTTAAACCATAAGCTTTTTATGGCTAGGAAGGGCTATTTCTGGACTCTGCACTGATGCTGGCTCTCAGCGGGTCAGCTCTGAATTCAGCCTGCTTCCCCTCCGCTGCCTGCTTTGCTCCTTTCTGCTCTCCCTCTCTTACCTCTTGCTCTCCTCAGTATTTTCCTCTCCACTTAACCCATCTTTGCAGCGAACACGAAGGGCCTCTTGGTCAGAGAAAGTCCCGTTCGTCTCTGGATGGCATCCGTGGCACTTTTGGGCGTAAGGCAGCATAGCCCCCTGCTTAGACATCCTTGTCCCTTAGGGTGGCCGCCACAGCACGCTTGGGCTCCTGCAAGGAAGGAGGTTCGAAGGATTTCCCTGCTTAACTAAGCCTGAATCATCGCCTGATCCTGCTTTCCTTTGGAGACCTCCCTGTCCCTCGGGGCCAAGCAGGAGCTGTTGCTCAGCCTGCCCCTGCTGTCCCCTGGGACACACAAGGAGGGGAGCCCCTCGGCCACCTCTGTGGCCACAGGAGGAAGCCCCCAAGGGCAGGGACTGGGATGCTGAGGTCCTCGGGTGCAGGAGCCCCAGCAGACTCACATCCCGGGGTGCTGCTGCCCGGCCGTGGGCCCGTGACAGCCCGTTGCCGGTGGCCGTTGGGACCAACAGCTGCAGGTTCTGGTTGGAGATGGCTCCTCAATCCTGCAGCCTGGCCAGGGACATGTCCTCTGCCTTCTTGGTCTCACACCAGAGGATTTAACGCTCTCTTTTAGCCCCCAAACAAAGCCAGGAAGCCAAGCTAAACCTTGCTGTGCTTTTGGGGTGAAATTTCAAAGTTCTGCCGGGGAACAGGGATGAGCCCCCTTCTTCTGCTCATGCAGCGCATCCACTTCTCTCTCCTTCGTTGTCAACCGGCAGAGACCAAGGCATGTGGTGGTACGGTTGCCTTCGAGCTCTCCGCGTTGCCCTTTGCCCTTTCCTTCCAGGGTATGGTGGCTATTATTAGCCCTCTCCTGCTGGGGCCGGATCCATAACAACAGCAAAACATACTCAACAGCCCTGCTGGGCTTTTAAAATATTTACAGTGTAAGATGGTTTGCTGCGGAGGGGGGCCTGGTAGAGCACAGAGACGGGAGCACCGGGATTTCTGTGCTCCCCGTGGGTCTGCTGTGAGGTTTCCTGCCGGGACGGTCACATCCAGCGAGGAGGAAAAAAAATCCCGTAGGGCTGAAGCCAGAGCTTGAGGTCAGGGGGTTTCCACCAACTGTCTGACAACTTCCAGCTGGAATTTCAGCAAATTTTCCACTGGCTCTTGTCTGGGAACATGCGTGAGGGGTTGTACATCAAAGAAGGAGGGCTCTGTAACCGTGTTATCAGGGTTAGAGAGTATTTTTAGACCTTTGCTCGTGCCTTCAAGGCCTCACTATGGCTCATGACCCCCATGCATTAGAGCTAGATCTATGGCCAGAAGCTGAGCTGAAGCTGCAGATGTCCTGTTGGAAGCCCGGTCTGGCAGTGGAGATGTATACAACAAGCAGGCACAGAGCTCCCCTACTTTCCTGCTGGGTCTGCGTCCTCCAAAATGTAGTAGTGGTTGGTCTTATTGGCCAGAACTGAAGTGCTCCAAGCTGCTGAGCCCCGAGATTCTCAGCTGGGTGAGAAAACAGGCAGGACCAAGGCAGCAGCCTGGTCTCCTACCACAGCACGTGTGTCCATCTCATGCGCTGAGCAGCTTCTTTCCAGGTGAGAGTAGCGTGGAAAAGTCTCATCACACTTTGGCGGTGAAGAGATGCCAAGCTTGGGCATGGCACATTGGTATTTTTAGAAGGCTTTTGCTGTGGAATTCCTAGTAATAATCCTGCACCCTCTGGCTCTTACGATAAATACAATTAAGTCAGCCAGCGCAGATGTCACCGCTTCTCCAGCCACTGCAGTGGTTTGGCAGGAACAGAGTTTCTAGGTTTCTCTAAGACTTGGTGGAAAATTGTAATTCATACAGGAGGAAAGCAGATACAGCAAAGGCACTGAGGCTCGGTGCTCATAAACAGATCCCTCCTTTTGCTTTGCCCTTGGTTTACAGTACAGATCACCTAATGCTTGTGGAACTGAAAACTAATTGCTTAGCCCCGAGTTTAAAATTAGGCTGAGACTAATTCCTCCAGGACTTCGCAAACCTTGCATTGATCTTCTCCCTCTACCCAGCTCTCCAAAGTGCCCCCACACATGCACCTCCTGGCCTTCAACACATCCCCAGGAACCCCCACTGCAGCATCTGTGCTGTCCCCAGGCACCTCCTGCTGCCCCACATCCTCCCGGCCGCTGCCTGGCTCCCAGCTGACGTAAGAGATGCTCCAGCCGGATTTCAAAATCCCGGCTGACCCTTGGCATCGGGGTAGGCTGAGTCCTTCTGCGTGCTGCTGCGGTCCCCAGGGGAGAGGGAAAGGCTTGGGGAGGAGTGGGGGAGGCGGAAAGGGATTGCTCAGCCCCACCAGCACCTCGTTAGCATCAGGATGCGTGGGCGATGATGGGAGGGAGCTGCCTGTCCATGTGTCCTTCTGTCCGCCAGAAGGGCAGCCCAGTGCCCAGCTCTGGCCACATGATGATGCCAGCCTGAACCCCCAAGCCTGGAGCAGGCAGCACCCCTCTGCCAGTCCCCATGGGGCACGAGTGTCTGCTCCAAAAATCCTCTGCCTCGAGAGGAATCATGGTTTGCCTTGGCAACCGGGGTTTGACGGAGCTCTGTGCTCCTCCCTCCCCTCAGCACCCAGCCTCGGCTGCAGCTTAAGCCTCTTCTGCAGCTTCTCACTAAGTTGATTAATGGAAATAATTGGTCTCTTCATGCATCTGGAGACAGTTGCCGTGACAGCGGTTGTATTTTTGTTTTGTTCCCAGGTCGAGCTTGTTTTTCACATCCTACAGCTTCGAGATGCTAATAAATCAGGGCACTCTGGTTCCCCTCCTCACCTCCGAAAGGCACGGACCCCTCCGATGGAAGGGGTTACAGAGCAGGATGGGGCACACTCAGCCCCGACCAGCCCTGGACATGGCAGGCTGGCACCTTTCTTCCCCCCATATTTTTTTTTTACCCCCCCTAAGCCAGGCTCGCAGCAGGTGGACATGGCTCCGAATTGTGCTCAGCAAAAAGCAGGGAGCCAGAGCCCTCGTGTTCACCCAGCACGGCCAGGAGCACCCATCACCCTGTGAGCCAGCACCCACAGGCCCCTCTGTCCCCTACAGAGACCCTTGCAAAGCTGTAAGGAGTCTGAGGGTATAAGTCCCTTCTCTTTTCTTTTTAATGTCTCTCAACTTCTTATTTATCTGCCTTTATATGTCAACATATTTTTACATGAACAAAAACAGTGACTGGGAGATCTGCTAATGCCTGAACTTGCAAAGCAGATAAACCACAGACCAGTCACTTGAAGCTCTTCAGCTGCAAAAGCCCCACAGCTGCTGCTGCAGACATGTGGCAGGAAGACTCATGTATTGTCCCCACTTGTGATGTGTGGACACCCCATCACACCTGCACCGTGGGGTGGATTCCTTTGCAACGGGGATCCCCTTCAGCCTTGGGTTCCCTATCTTCCCCCAAATCATTCGGGAAGAAAAGCCCCTGCTGGATTTCACCTCAAAGGCTGGAAAGTCCTCAGTGGTCCCACAGCTCTTTTTGACCTGCCCTGGCCTCTGAGTGAGCATCACCTATACAGACCCCACTTCAATTCCTTGCCCTGGGATAATCACCCCCAGCACAACCTTCCCCACTAGCTTGCAGGCTTTCCAGGGCAAGAAGTAGTCAAATAAGTGCAGAGGAGATGCACCTGGGGCTAATTTCTAGCACAGCTGCCCTTGTCATGTATAAAAGGAAGGTGAAGCCACAGCAGGTCTTGATGGGATAGCTGTGCTTCTGGATGGAGGAAGGCATTTCTGCAAGGACAGAGGTAAGTGAGGATGGGTCTTTTTTTTTAATGCCTAGCAGGGAAAAGAGCGATTTCATCCAGCTTTTTGTTGTGATCTGAGGAGTTGAGCTCTGCTGCTGTGTGACAGCAGTGCTTGCGTGGCTGGGAAGGAGAGCTTAGCTTGGAAGAGGTGTTGTGCGGGCTGTAGCTATGCAGTGTTGGCTGCTGTTAGTTGAGAAAGCTCTGCTTAGCACGGGGTGCTGAAAGCCACCTGCCTCAGCTCTTCCTCCTTCAGGCTTGCACAATCCCCGTGGAACTCACATCCAGCATCCAAAGAGTCCTCCTGACTCGGCGTGGTGTAAGGGGCTGAGCGAGAAGCTGTGAAACCTCCTGAGGTGCGAGAGCCCTGGCAGCTCCCAGCGGTGCCTAAAAATAACCAGGGCATCTCTTAAGAGTGTCAGAGTGGAATGAGGATAATTAGCAAAATCAGGCTTAGCTCTGCTCCCTGGAGCTGGCTGCCCTGTCCATCCACCCCACTGCATGGAAGGGAACCACCAGCAGGACATGGGGAGGGACAGTGCTTGTCTGGAACATGGGAGCAGGGGGAAGATGTGTCTTTGGGAGCTGTGAGGAGGGCTGGGTGGCTTGTGGTGTTATTGGTCCTTTACATACAATAGAAAAGGAAAGCATAGGAGTTAAAAGCAGCTGGCACTGAGGGGTGGCTGAGCTAAACCCTTTTGAGTGGCTCCGTGGTGTCTATTACCCACCAAAATCAGCAGTCCCTTTGGCTGTGCTGCCCTGCTGGGACCCCTACTAGATAAAGGAAGCTTTTCTGGCCTGCGCGCCCTCTTCTCTGAGTATTTCTGTGATGGATGGAGAATTTTTGTACATCTGTGTCAGGTGATAGCAGCTTCTGATCCTTTCTGCAGGCAGGGTACATCTGTCTGCATAAGTCACCAGGGATGTGACATCTAGACACGAGCTGAAGTGATGCTGGAGACATGCCTGTAACATTACACTGGGGATGCTCAGAGATCATCCCAAGTTACAGCCTCAGGAAAGAGAAAGCTTCTAATGAAATGAATTGCCAACTAATTTACAGTCCACTGAAATGCAGCCTAGGAGTAGAAAGATACATGTTGCCTCTAGCATACATGGGGAAAGGTGCTGGGTACAAGGGATGAATGGCTCCCAGAGACCTCTAGGATGAAAGTCTGTGTGCCCCAAAGACTCCTGAGATCCTGTGTCTCCCACAAACAATGCAGCAGCTCTGTGTAAGCGAAAGCTCAGCCCGGGAACAAGAGAAAGCATCAAGATGACCTGAGGAGATGCTTTGGGTGCAGGAGCCATGGGAGTGAAACCACAGCAAGGACTGTCTGAGCTGGCAGATGTGCCATTTACACAAGAGCCACGAAAGGTTAAGCTTTGGGGGTTCTCTGGGTCTTGCTGGGCTGATGGTACGTGCAAAGCAAAACTCGCTTACGTGGTTATGTGTGAGCAAAGAATACGTGTGGGCAGCCGAGAGCAGGGTTTGGAGAGGAGGTCCCTGCTGCTGGCGGAGGAGATGCTGTGCAGCAGGGGTTGCACTCAGGCTGCCCCCAGAGCCAGCGCTGGAACGGGGCTTGGTACAAGCACATGGCTGTGAAATATGGAAAATACAGCAGGAAAGTCCTTGCAGCAGAGGTGTTGATAGCTTTTTTTTGCTCTTAGCTGCTTTCTAGCATTTAGTAATTCAGAATACAGGGGGAGTTCAAAGGAGTCTCTAAAATCCAAAGGAAAAAACCCATTCCTGTTTATGTAATATCTCCCTGCGAACAAAAACTGCGTCAATCCATAGTATGAATCCCTACCTGATTTAGTTGACTTTCCTTTTGGACATGACTTCAAACAAGCTTCATACACAGCAGGGCAGCAGCTTCTGGGGAAGGAAAAGAAAATAAACGTAAGAAAACATTATCTGTGCTTTTGTAGGGAGCCATAGAGCTCAGCTGCTTTTTCCACCATCTGCAGCAAAGGGGACATGGGGTCTGGCAGGGCTCTGCCCAGCAGGATCGGCTGAAGCCTGGCTTGGCGAGCGTGGAGACACCAACCAAAGGCTGTGGGATGGTGGTGGTTGTGTAGCAGCTTCTCAGGAGGGTTGTGCTAGTAGAGATCTGGCCTCTTGTGTCTAAGAGCAAGGGAAGTCCAGCTGAGGGCCTGGCTTCTCAGAGAAGTTCTCTTTGGTTTTGCTTCTCCTTTCATGAACTTCACGTGGGTGTTCTGGGGAGAACCAAGGCAACCCATGTCTCCTGACCTGCACCACGGGGAGACCCGGTGGCTGCCTCAAGAGTATAAATGAATGTTGGTTTGCAGCTCCACTGCCCTTTCAAGAAGCGAAACTTCCCCATCAGCTTCTCTGAGGCAAAAGGGGAAGTTTGATCCGGTACTTTCAGTCGCCTTGCGTGGTCCATCTCCTGCCCCTGGGGTTTCTCTGCTGTCTGTGTGCAGCTGTGCCTCTCCCGCTGTCCCCAGGCCCCGCTCAGAGACATTTCCTCTGTGGCCTTAACATCTGTGGGTGCATTGCAATCTCCTGACCTGCAGAGCCCAGCCAACAAGACACTTGCTTATTTTAGCAGCTGTTTCAGCTTTCAGACTTTTTGGAACATCACGGACTGTTTTTTTATTATTTTCACTTTGTCCCAGGGACAAATCTTAGCAGAACAGAAAGGAAGAGATTTTTATTATTTTCACTTTGTCCCAGGAACAAATCTTAGCAGAACAGAAAGGAAGAGATGAGCCATTTAACCATATAGACAGATGAATTGCTGGATAAGCTACTGCTTGGCCCATCTGGGTTGAGTATCACTCCACTCTGTTTCCAAGTCAGGACAAGCCTACAGTCTTTCTCTTTATTTTTTTGACCCACTTTTAACCACTCTGCTCTCAGTTTCCAAGTCAGGACAAGCCTACAGCCTTTCTCTTTATTTTTTTGACCCACTTTTAAAACTCGCTGGTTGTCAGAGCTGACACTTGCTGGCTCTGGCCCTGCTTCAAGGACAGGGCACTTGCTGCTTCTGTGTGTCCGTTTGCCCATCTGTTAAACGGAGCTATTAATACTCGCTCCCCTCGCTGGATGCTTCAAATATTTGTAAAGCGCTTTCAGACCTGCAGATGACAGGCTTACAGAAGTGGAAAATACTAATTATGATCGTGACAGTAGCAAAACAAAGACATGGGGACTTAACAATACACTTTTGTTAGTGTTTACCCCATTTGCAGAGAAGTGCTTACTGGAAACACCAGAACGGAAAAGAAACAGAATTCCCACAACTCTGGGAATACGCATTGCCCTTTTGGGGCACCAAGCAGGCAAACAAAAGCAGGAAGGAAGAAAGCCAGCTTTGGAAATCCACAAGTCTTTATTTTCTTCCTTTGCCTTCCTGACTCGCTCTGGCTGGTGTGTTCTGCAGCCCAAACAGTTAAACCTCCAGCACTTCAGGCGTGTTGCAAAATATCTCCAAATACGTGGCCCTCTGCCAAGAGAGGCTTAAAGCAAATTGGAGCAATGATGCTCTGAAGTAAAAGTTACCACTGAGTAGTCCTGTTCCTGATGGGATGGCAGGGGGGGAACCCCATTTTCTCTCTCTCTCAAAAAAAAAAGGCAGCTGGTTTTGGAGATAGAAACTCTATAGCAACTAGTATTGGCTTTCCAACCCTACCAGCCTGCCTCTGGCTAGGTGTTTCTCCCCACAGTTCTTGCTTGAGGATCTGGAGTCTGCAAATCTGAAGCTGGGCCCCTTGTTCCATCTCCAGAGGCTTATCCTCTGCTGGCCCATCCAGTCCTGCTGCTCCTGGGGCAATGGGCAGAGCTCTGAAGGCCCCTCTGTGGAAAGCCCAGGCAGTATCCCACACAGGGAGTTTGGGCATTTAAGGGCAGTGAGATGGGTTAGTCCATGCAGTAGGACTACGTATGGGTGAAAGTAACTTGTTAAAGAACACTTTACCCTTTCTAATCTAGTCCTATAAGTTATCAAGGTACCATGGATTATTTTGGGAGCCCTGTGGGAATGTTCATTGGACACCTGAACATCCATACCCCATCAGGAATGAATTACAAGGGCATCAACATGATGCACGTGTCTGGGGTTCAGATTCCCTCCATGTTTATCAGCTGTTACCCAACAGGAACAAGCACACAAAACAAACTCTGTGCTCTCAGCATTCCTTCAAAATGAATATATGTTCCAAAAAAAAAAAAAACCACCCCAGAATGCTTTTTGGCAGAATTCAGCATTATTCTACATAACAGCTGTGATGGTGCTGCTTTTGATCCAGAGAGGAAATCCTCTCTGGTTTCAAGCAAGGTGATGGCAGCAGAGAGAAGGTCACTCTTGTGTCTTTTGACTCCTGGGTAAACAACAGGCTGTGCACATCGTGGAGTGGAAATGGAGCCCACTCCTCCCAGCCCAGACCAAGAGACTCTCTCACACGGTGCCCCAGTAGCAGCTGGCATCCTTGGCTCAGAGGTGCAAGAAAACGTGTAATTGTAGTGGAATGTTTTTCATCAGTTCCTAATTACCCTGAACCAGGAGGTCTTATAATCCTTAAAATGCAATACCCTCTTAATCATACCCAGGGTTGTTTTGTTACCGAGATAACTACCTAATATCTATTAAAACGCCTTCTGAGCTCTTTGTTCCAGTGGTATCTCATGGCAATGAGCACCACAGATTAATTACACTTTGTGGAAACAGTAATTCCAGTGAAGTTGATGACGCTCCGGTGGGGATATGTTTGGCTTATTACATCATTGCAAATACCAACTAATGTTGGCGTTTTGGTGCCCGCCAGGGAGTTCCTGAGGCGGTGGCTTGTGACCAGCAACCTGCCTGCGTGAAAGCCAACATGAAGGAGCAAAGAGCACCGAGCCTCTCTGGGGCTGTGCTGGGAAGGAAGCATTTGGGAACTCGTCATGTAAACCAGAAATGGGTGGTGTAAATGTCTTGGCCTCTCCAACTGCCATCGTGAAGAGCTGGGGACAAAGTCCACGCAAAAGCTGAACCTCCCCTTCTCACTGGCGGTGCTGGAGCAGCTCCATTTATGACTTGGCTTTTTCCTAGTCATGGGCTAGAGACAACTAAAAGCATGGAGGGGTTCCCTTCTCATCCTCGAAAATGGGTATTGTGGTGGAAAATTTGTTTTCTGGATCAGTCCAGACGTGCAGCTTTGATGCTAAGGAAACCCTTAGTAGTGTGAAGAAACAATTGGATCCAGGCTTTGAATGTGAAAATGGGAGAGGCCAGAACAGGGTGGTGTAGAAAGGCAAAGGAAAAACTGGGCTGAAGCTTCTGCTGTTCGTTATGGACTTGTAGATTCATCCCTGATTCTGCCACACACCTTGTATGAGCCCAGGAAAATAATCTGCTTTGTGTATAGCCCCTGTAAAATAGGAGTAACTCTGCTGTTTGGTTGCCCAGACAGGCTGGAGGGATTAACACACAGCAGTATGCTGCAGAAACTGGCTCCAAAATGTGGAAGATTAGGAAATGTTAGGAACTTGGGGTCCAGGTTGTGCCTATTGTTATTCCTCTGTGTGGGCTCAAAAGCAGATGTTCCTTTCTTTGAAATAAGAGGATAAGGGAGAGCAGCAAAACTCCACGCTCTAGCTCATGGTGTGCCTGTACACCTCCTCGGAATTGGCCACAGAAATACCACATGGTTGAAAGATACATGGCTATGAACATTCCTGGGTTTTCATTTCTCCATGACCAAGCTATGGGAGCCCATGGACTATATTTCATGATCTCCAGTTATCTAAGGCACTACTTAGCCCACACTCTCTGGAAACTGTCCCTGAAAATGATGGCATGGGGGACTCGTACGTCCACGGGGAGCTCTGTCTGAATGACTCCATGCCCTGTTCTGTACTCGAGGTACATTAAGCACTCCTGGTGCATCCATGGTTGTAAAGGGCCATCTAACCCACATCTGCACTATGAACGAAGCCAGCCATTGAGGATCTCTTCATGCATCCTTCTTTCCCAAACACCAACCCTCACGAGAGTGGAAACATGACCATTTCTCAGTTGGGTGGCCATGCGTTAGCATGGTGGCCCTTTCCAGCCAAGAGTCTCAGAAGCCTAGGTGTGCCCCATAGCTACCCAAGTGAGGCACGGTGACCTTTCCATGAGCAAACAGCCCAGAGCCTGAGGGGCTGCAGCATCAGATGGTCTCTGCCACCCAGCCAAGCCATCCCCACCTCACAAGTCTCCTCTCGCTCTTGCACTGCTGCAGCATCCCTGCTGTGGCTGCCTCTTGTTTATTTGACCCAAGTGTGTCCTCCTCCTACTTTGTGCCACCAGCCCAGCCACCCATGGCATTGTTCCTGGGTTCTCGGCTACACTTGGCCCTTGTTCTGTGGACCCATTTACCCCTTCCAAGCAAAGGGAAATATTTCCCAAACACCCCTTTGGGGCCAAGGCATGACATGCACGTGAAAGCTCACCACCACGGCTCCCTACCAGCTGCTTAGGGGAATCTAGAGAGAGAGAAAAGAAAGGCACACAGCTCCGAGGTGGAGGAATTTGCAAAGCCTCCTGAGAATACCACCACACAGCAGTTCTTTTTTTATCCCAAGTCTTTGCTTGGAAAGCTGGATGCCAGGGAGCCTCCCAGCCCTCTTCCACTGCCCGTGGTTGGAAGGGGAGCCCCGGGCAGCCCCACAGCTCCCAATAGCCCTGGGGACAGAGTCATGCCATGGCCCCGCATGGATGGCACGCTGGGTGCCTGTCCCACAGGCTGGAATCCATTGCCCTGCGAGCACAGAGCCACCCCGATGCTTTAAGGGAATTCCCTCCGGTGAGTCGCTCAGAACAAATGGATGCATTTCAGAAATGAGGCCAGAAATCCCCACGGGGGTCACCGATCCACGGTCCTTTGTGATTTCCAGCTGCCGAGCCTGCTCTCCCTGCTACCCCTTCCCAGCAAGTACTGAAAGGCATCATTTTCCAAGTGAAACAGCCACCACCTCCCTGCCATCAGCTTACGAACGCTTTCTCCCAACAGGGGAAAAAAAAAAAACCCCAACACCGGGATGCAGCTTAGTTTTTCAGCCCACGGTTTGTGGGCAGCAGAAATCTCGCCGTTCGCAGCCGGTTCGGTAAAAGTTAACAATCTTAAACCAAATCACCCCTTCGCAGCCCTGGCTTTCGTGCCCGGGGGGGACTGAAGCTGGTGAGCAGCCCCTCACCGTGGTGCCAGGGCTCCCGGCCACCCCCCAGCCCCTCGCCTGCCCCACAGCAGCATGCACAGCCCTACTTACGGCCACCCCGGGCTCCCGTTGCCTCCCGAATCCCAAGTTCCGCCGTCCCGTCGCCCAGGCAGGATCCCGGGCTGGATTCCACCCTCCTGGCGCCTCTGCCCGCTGTGGCGAGCGGCCAAGCCGGCTGGGGGATGGCAGCCAGCTTCAGACTTGCCGTTTCCTCGTACTGGGAGCTGCTAAATGAAGTTGCACTTCTGGGGCCGAGGGGCGTGTTCTCCTCCCTTCCCGAGTCAGTCCCTGCCTGCTGTAATCCAATGCTCATCCCGATGATGTCAAGCCGCTACCGCTCGGCTCCTACCTTTCAGTCGGCGGGAGGGATCCGTTTCCTCTTCAACAGGGATCTTTGTTCGGCTGCGACTCGTAACCCCATCTCCCTGCAACCGCGTGTGCCCAAACATCCTTCCTTCGATGCTTGGGGCTGTGGGTTTCGCTGCCGGGCTCTTCCCCCTGCCCTCCCGCCCCACCGCTCTCCAGAGCATCCCTGGGATGCAGGTCCCGGTCCCAGCTGCATCCCGCTGTTCACCCTCACCATCAGGGCTCAGCCAAAGGCACCATCGTGCCCCATCAGCCTGAGATATCTTACCAGGTGTAGGCACTGGGGAAGTGGCTCCCAAGAAAAAAATAGCTTTGTGTCTTCTTGCAGCCCCTTTTGCTCCGCAGACTCCCCCGGGGTAAAAGCCAAGCGTGCTTTGGCTCATCTGCCCACAGGTGCCAGCCTTACTTGGGGGTGAAATCAGGTGACAGCAGCCATATTTAAGGGGCAAAAGGTGCTTGGGGCAAGGCAATGCCACATATCGAGCACCTACCTTTGTATCCACCCTGCTGCAAAGCACAGCTCGCAGCCAGCTCGGGGCCACTCCAGGAGAAGAGGAAGTTTTGGCTGTCGTTGTCACCCCAGGGGCCCAGGACTGTGCCTTCTGGGTGGTATCAGCTCCTTGTGTCACGTCAGCCGTGGAGACTCCACTGGGTGGCTGAAGCCAAGTGAACAAGCTGGTTGCAGTGCCAAGTCTTGAGCTGTCCTGCTGGTCCATGCTCCTGCAAAGCCCTACCAGCGTGGTGGGAAGGTGTGTGAGCACACCAGGGTGTGGATATTGCTGCCTGCTCCTTCCTGAATACCCAGACTGGAACAGGGCTCATTAGTGTTAATTGCTTTCCTGGGAGAGGGCAAGACTTGCTCCATCCCTGCTGCAAGGACAGTCCGGTCCTCAGCCTTGTGAGGGGGAGAAGGGGCAGGACCCAACTGGAGAGCACGAACAGCGTTTGCTGAGGAACGGATCCGGTCCCTGCTGGAGCTAAAGGAGCTTTTATTTCAGGTTGTGTGCAAAGTGAGCAGTGTGAGCTGGGAGGACTTGGCTCTCCCACCCTGCCATCTCACCCAGCACCAGACGGACGCAGAGACGGCGCCTCTGCCACCACCCTGCAGCTCTCCCACCGCAGAGGGGCCCCGGGCTCAGCACCTGCCTCTGCACTGGTGAGGAGCACCAGAGCCCCTCCTCTCGCCGTGGCACCGGTGAGGAGCACCAGAGCCTCTCCTCTCGCCCCACCACCAGCTGCGCAGCCAGACCCGCTCCACCTCCACCCGCATCCCCACCTCCAGCCAGAATCTGCCAGCGCGCGCCCCAAAACGAGCCGTTTGCCGTGATAGGTACCCACACCCCTGCCCTCGCACGCAGGAAGAGATAAGAACACCCATAAAAGCAGCAGGCAGTGCAGGAAACACCCTGATGACAATGCCGAGGCACGGAGGAAGGGGAACGGACCTCAACAGAGCAAAACATACCCAGGCTTGCCGCATCCCCAGACTGACCTCGGGTAGCTCTGCCTCCCTGTTCAATTCTGATTTATTTCAAAACCAGCCCCGGGAAGACAGTTTGATTTCCTGGGATGTATCACTTGGCAGAAAGTCGTCTCTTTCCAGTGCTTTTGAGTCACACATTACTACCTACCCAAAAGTAACAGTACGGGATTCACTACGAGGCCATGCCTATCCTCATGAGATGCAGCAGAGGGAGGAAAGCTCTGCCAGGTTGTGCTGAGCAACCAGCCTCAGGAGGCTGCTACGCTGGCCTGGCAGAGGCTGCAGCTTTCTCTTCCCTCCAGCTTGTATTTGAACGCGATCCAGAAGGCTACGGCTTTACGCTGACCCTTGGGCTGCAGGGCCTGAAGGCCAAATCTGGTAAGGATGCAAATGCTGCTCCAGCAACCCAGACGTTTTCTTGGCAGCATGTGGCCAGCACCGTGACAATACGGGCAATATATAGCCATGGTAATAACAAAGCACTTCAAAGAGCTGGGAGCGCAGTGTATGATCTGTCCTTCTTAGGTAAGATGGGTCTTAACTATTTGTCCTACTCAAACTTCCCGACCCTGCGTGAACAAGCTCCCCAAAGCATCCATCAAAGACTCTGCACACACTCACGTGTCCCTACAGTGACCTCCTCATCCGAGACTATCCCCTACAAGGACTGGTCAAACGTTTTCCATCAAAACTCTTTTTAAGTAGAAAATGCAGCTTGGGATTTTCTATAGAATATATCTTGTATCTTTTTTTTTTTTTTCCCCACAAGGGAAAAAAAAATGAGATGCGAAAACATTTGCCTGAAATCTTAACACATGAGGATAAAAATGTATGGCTTTCAATGTATTCCTTCTTCCTATTTTCAAATGAAAGTTGACGTTTGTCTCTGGAAACCCACCCTACCTTCTAGCTAAGCCTCAGGTTCCCCATCTCTTGTCCCGTTGCTCTGTACACCAGAAGCCATTCACCTGGAGGTATGGGAGGATAAATGTAGTTCCTACCTGACTGTAATGAGAAGATGTTGTGGCTGTCTGGCACAGCGAGTTCTGTGTGATGGATGGTATTGCAGCCTTGAGCCGACCGACCCAGCTGCAGCCACCATCAGCCTTTAAAAGGCTGGCTGTGCTCTTCTGTGGCTTCTGCTTGACTAATACACCTGCCTTTGGCGAGAGTTTTGCTGCCTCTTGCATCCATCTGCTGTCCAGGGGAGTGGTTGTATCGTCATCCCTAGAGGTATTTAAAAGATGGGTAGATGTAGCACCTAGCGATACGGTTTATTGATGGTTTTTGTCAGTGTTAGGCTGATGGGTGGATTCAATGATCTGAAAGGTCCCTTTCAGGCAATTCTATGATTCTATCCTGCATGGTCTGGGACTGGTGTTAGTGACATTGCTGCTCAGGACACCAGGAGGTTTGGCTCTGCTCTCCTGATGGCTGCTGCTGACCATGCAGTTGGTCTGCAGAGAACTGCAGGGATTTTTTAAATCTCTCCAACATGGAGTGGGATGAGGAGAGCAGCACCCCAGGGAAGGGCTGGTCCTGCGACACCCGAGCACAGCTCAAGAAGCTGTCCCACGGGCTGTCAACCTTTAGCTGGAGGAGGGACGAATGATGGTTTTTGTCGGTGTTAGGCTGATGGGTGGACTCAATGATCTGAAAGGTCCGTGGATTCAATGATCTGAAAGGTCCCTTTCAGGCAATTCTATGATTCTATCCTGCATGGTCTGGGACTGGTGTTAGTGACATTGCTGCTCAGGACACCAGGAGGTTTGGCTCTGCTCTCCTGATGGCTGCTGCTGACCATGCAGTTGGTCTGCAGAGAACTGCAGGGATTTTTTAAATCTCTCCAACATGGAGTGGGATGAGGAGAGCAGCACCCCAGGGAAGGGCTGGTCCTGCGACACCCGAGCACAGCTCAAGAAGCTGTCCCACGGGCTGTCAACCTTTAGCTGGAGGAGGGACGAAGCCAGAGCGATCTCGTAGGGTAAGTGTCAGAATGAGATGAGCGTGTCCCCAGGGGTGCTAACGTAAAGAAAGCCACCCCTGGAGCAGTGCTGCGCTGCTGGATTGCGCTCTGCCTGCTCCAGCAAGAAAAACCACCAGCACAAAGGACTCTCTGAAGCCCAAGGAGAGAAGCTGTCACTTCAGAAGGATCTGACCCACCTCTGACCTGACTGTTTTTGCAGCCCGAGCCCTGCTTCCCTCAGAAGCCCGTGCTGCCAGTGTCAACACAGCCCTGCAATAGCTGATGTAGCACGGAGCCTCCTCACGTAGGAGCCGCTTCCCGCTGCCTTTCCCAGGCATTGAGCTCTCCGTGTCCCTTGATGTCATCAGGATTGCAAGGAAATGCAGAATGGCACAAGATACGCATGGAAAAAATGTGACAACCTGATTTTTTTTTTTTTTTCCTGGACTTCCTCCCCCAAAATAACTACTTTAAATAAAGTTCTGATCAGAGAAACCACGGAACATATTTCAAGGGTCTGCTGGGCTCCCTAAGGAAAGGGCGGGTGTCTTAAGCCATCAAATAGCAGCTTGCACTCAGAGATTGATGAGAAGAAGAGAAAGCGGCAGGTAAAAGCAGCGTCAGTGACAAGCCCCTCTTCGTGCTGTCAAAGGAAGGACAGAGTTTGCTGTTGATTAGGGAAGAGAGAGTGGGCGTCGGGATGTCGGAATGAATTACTCGGCGTTCAGACCCATTTTGTTTCTATAGAAGTTGCTCATCCAGAAAGGTTCATCAACAAGTGGAACACAGGAAAAAAGAAAAGAAAAAGCTTGTGCTGAGGCTAAACTCATTAGTGAACCCCCCTGTGGGGTCACCTCTATAGTGGGCAGGGTGGCAAGTGAAGCCTGGTGGTGGGGAGCCCCTCTTGGGGCTAGGACAGTGGGGACGTGCATGGTGGCTGCTGGCACGGTGGCTCGGCGCGGGGCAGAGCAGGCTCCAAAAAACTGTTTACTTTGAGCCGGGGCTATTTTTAGCTCCTGTAATCTGTGCAGAGATGATAAAGCTTTTCATTGCAGAGCGAGTGGCTGTGCTTTGCTTCTGGGCAATTTCACTCCACGAGCTTGTCCCTTCCCCCTGCCCGGCCACTACTCCCCGGGGACCTTATCTCCTCTGTCGAGCCAAACACCTCCAGAAGGTTTCTCCCAGTTAGATAGGTTGGAATCTCAGCCCAAACTTACTTTTTCCCCCTCCCCCTTTTCCCTAGGGAATGTATTCAGTTGGGAATAGAAATGAACTTTTTTTTTTTTTAATAGTCTCTGAAGTGCTGTTCAAAGTCTCAGCTGGAAACCCATCGTGGACGTGCACCCCCTACTCCTTCAGTCCTGCAAAATTTCCCCTGCCCAAAGGCTCTTGCAAAATAAATCACTTG